CCTGTCAGAAGCTCAGAAGGGAGGTACGACATCTCTGCTCCCGATTAGCAAATACGACCTACCCCCCCCCCTCTTCTACAGAATCCCTGAAACAAGAAAAGTCAACTATCAGAAGGAATTTGTACGACCCCATTCTCCCAGCGACCAAATACTACCCCTCCCTCCCCATGTTGGGGAATCCCCAACAACGATGTGCCCTGCCATTGTGCTACTTTTGTGGGGATGTAAAAAGCTAGTGAAACGAGGAAGCTGCCGAAAAATTCTCAGACAAATGCAGCTCCCTACGTCGGCCGAAGCATCCCCCACCCCTGTGTTGAGGACTCCCAACGTGCAATATGCCTTGAATGAAGAACTCGCTATGCCAACCGAGTCTTTCTATCGTTTTTTCCATGTTATCATAAGTATGCGATTTTTCGCGAGAGTATTTTCTTTTATTGACTTTTTAAGGATATAGTGCCTCTCAATGCATGTTTAAATTAAAATTAATTCAATCGCTCATAGTTTAGTTGCTTATAACAGGTAATAATCGGTAATTATTCAAACTCTTTACTACATGATTTTGAGATAATGATGACAGCGACTTTAACAAAATGAACTGTGTGGATCCGGGTCTGAGAGCTGACGTCGCCAACGCTCTCAATAAGGTTGCCGACCATTCCTGTCAGGTGAATACATCTCGATTTGTTCCAACCAAAGCTGCCATAAGGTAGCTGTGCTATTGGTAAGGCTGAAGCTACATAAGTAAAAGCTTATACTTGCTTCTGGCCTCATTTTCACACGTTATCCATTACTTGTTTTCTCCCTTAAAGACAAACTCTACGTTCACCTCCGTGTATCCTGGTCCGTGACATTTGCGAGGTAAAAAGGTCTGCAGCTACATCACCTTTTCACTTTCTGCGCTCAAAAAAGCACGAGTACGAGCCCTGAAGGTAGTGATACCTGTTTGCTGTCTCTGAACTCTACGCGGACTCTACGCGCGGGTGCAGCACTCCAGGCACACGCTTTACCATGGCCGAGCGTGCTACTTGTCTGTGCTCTCTCACTTCTGGTTGTTCTCGGCCGCTGAGCGCATGTTTCACTGCGAGATCCTGAGATAGCAAGTGCTTGGCAGCATGGATGGATTAGCAAGGGTGCAATATGGAGACGGTTACCGGGTAAATGTCCCCTTAAGGCCTCGATCCTGTGTGCATATTGACAGCGAAAGTGGCCACTGTCCTGCAGCTCGGCCAAGCCATTCGGGCCTCGCACTATAGACATGTCCTCCTCGGGGGTGAATATAACAGCATGTCTTCAAGTATTATAAAGACTTCTAATCTCCGCTCTCGTACTCCGGTGACAGCTCTATGGAGTAGCACGGTCGTGCTGTGTATACAAGACTTATCATCCAGTCGACTACTAAATTGTTAAGATGGTGAGTAGGATGGTGGGATGCGAGGCCATACCTGAGGGAAAAGATTAGGCGGAGGGATGCATTTGCAAAAACTTCCTCAGTAAACTGGTTGTCCTGGTGCCAGCCCTTATCTCTTGCTCACAAGCTTTCGGCACACAATTCTAGAGGCCATACCTAAAGGATCTACGGTATAGTTCGTTGCGAACGGTGGGCGTGTCAGGCAGTATGAGTGTGCCACGGTGAAAAACCCGTTCTCTGCCAGTTGTTGAAGCAGTTACGCGACAACAGTTGTTGGGAAACGAGTGATACGAACGACATGATACAGTCTTGTCACTTGCTCGCTTCAACAGCTGGTGGAGAACGGGTTTGGCACCGCGCCAAACTCATCCCTCCGTGACTCGCCCACCGTCCGCAGCGAACTACACTATATCTAAGGGTGACCTCGTACCTCTCTGAAACTATTAAATAATGTCATTCGCTTCATCTTCATATTAATTTGAGCCTAATTTAGGGAATCGTCAAGACAATTCTATACAGTATCAATCTCCCACAATGGGCAGTGAATTGTGTTGCTTTCACAGCCACACGCAATTCCGATGTTATATCGGTTAGTTACTATTCGAAAGCTATAGAAAAAGTTCGAATAATGGACGGAGATGGTAAAGTGGCGAGTGGCTCCGCTCGCCAGACGCACAAGTTCTAATATCAGATCGACTCTTGGCCAGGCTATCCAAGTCTTTCATACTTCTGGAGTCCGCCATTTGGTACCACTCCTTTCTGGGATGATGAGTACCCTACACTTCTGTTCGCTGTGGATGCGGGGAAGTGTCACGGGGCTGGGTTTGACGCTGTGCCAACCCGTCCTCCATCAATTGTTGAAGCGAGCGAACGACTATGATTGGTGGAAAAGAGGCTGGAGCCACGCAAAACCTAGCTTTCTGACGCGCCCCTGCATCTGCAGCAAACAAGACTGTCTACTAAGACACCGCTTCCACTCAAAACCGACTCCTGGGTCTGACCCCGACTGTGCGCAGGGCCGCTTGTCACTGGACTGCCTCCTCTCATGTCTTCCATATTAAAATTTTATTTGAGTTCAGAATAGAGCAGGTGCTGCTCACGGTAGCACAACTCATGAATGATTTGTTCAGGATTAAACAATCTGCATATAGTTGCGACATCGCAGCGACATGTACTCAATTCGTATGGCAAAAATCGATTTGTCATGAGATATCACTGTGATAAATTTTCTTCGTTATTATGTTGTCGTTTCAAAATAAGCGAAGGCAGTGGATGAAGAACACCAATCCGCTGGAATTCACCGAGACTTGCCGCACTGAATTCGTCCTCCATGGCCCCTTTCACCGCACCGCTTTTATCTTAGGGGATGGTATGCAATGCTCAAAGAATGGAGTGGAATTCTCAGTTTTCGGCAAAAAAACTCAATAATGGGTGGATTTTCGCGTCGTTGAATCAGACTCTTTTGGGAGCGGGTGCATATGGCCAATTCATATCGAATCGTTGTGGCTTAGTGAGTGCGATGTGGCCTATGCAATGTCTTGCAGGGACCAGTTGGCGTACGAGTCAGTCTTATCCTCCCAGGCGAGTCTGGGAGCCAATTCTTCTTCCTGGAGAGTAGAAGGGGTGCTGTGCTTGGGGGGGGAGGGGAGGCGAGCCGATCCAGGCTTTGAACCATGGACCGCGCTTGTGGTAAGCGTGCCATTTGCCACCACCTGCACCTCAGTATGATGATTTACCGCAATCTTCTATAGGAGGACAAACTGCAAAGATGGAAAGAATCAGGAATTGAATGTGTAACAAGTAGCGCTGCGAGTTTATGACGGAGTCAAGTATGTGACGCGTCTGCAAAATTAAAATTCAATGCGATGATTTTGTCGAGAACTGAAAAAGGGCAAATTGTTTTTTAAGATGAAGATGCTTTCCAATGAGGCAGTATTACATTAAACGAACAGCCATAACATTTTTCCCCTCGGGTAATAAGATGAGAATTCTACGATTACAAATTATGTGGGGATGTGTTTACTCCCTGAAACAGGAAATCGCCGCTCAATTACCCTTATCTTTACATCTGTATCCTCGTCTATGTTGGGCTCTCTCGTAATCGCAATCGAGCAAATTAGAACCAGAATCGCAAACCACTCTTCTGTTGTTGACCTGATCCCTACACATAGCGCCTTACAATTAGTTCAACAATGAAGCTTCTTTTCCAGTTGCTCCTTGAACTTTTCTTTGATCATAAGAGCTCTGGTAAGAGAACAAAATAAATATGGTTAGATAGGGGGACATACAGGGGGGGGCAAAAAAAGTCACTTCGACCGAGTCACATATCAGCAAAGTTTTCGCTGCCCAGACAGAGGACGTGGATACGAGTACCAGGGCGGAAGATACCCAAGATGTTCCTCGATAAGCAGGAGCTGGCTCTCGCCCATCACCTTCATGTACA